GTAGGGAAGAAAAGCAGTGATTGCATTTATTGGTATCGATTTTTTGGATATGAATTATATTAATCGATTTATATCTTAGGCAATTATTCAAGCTTGCATGGAATATCGTCATCGAATGCGAAATAGGGTAAGTTAATGTGTTTATTTTATGCGCTATTTTTGCTTTCGTAATATATGTATGTTTGTCAGCATAGCTTTTAAGACTAATCAATTCACTTTTTTCAGCGAGAAAATTCAAATCAGCGAGGAATGCGACAAAATAACGATCGCAGTGGGGAAATTATTTTAAGTGATGGTGATGATGACGAACAGGTATTTTTTCTAATTTTTCAAGTCTTTCACTCCTTAATAAATGATAATTTATAAGCTAAAGATATATTTCAAGAAGGTATATTCAGAAAGAATATATTCGCTTATGATTAACAGGACAGTAGTGAAAAAAAAAAAAAAAAACTAAATTTGAATTATGCAGGTTAAGCTCGTTTATTGCAATTTTTAGGGTCTTTCAAGTATTACTAACAGAGAAAATTCCACAGTCGTTTCTCATAATCGACGTCGATTTGAACGTTTACATCGACGTCGTAGAAGTCAGCGGTTAATGGGTTTGCGAGCCCGTCATGGGTCATTACATTCTGGTTTCGATATTTTTCGCCATGGATACGTGAGTAGAATGTTACTAGGTATTGATCGAACTAGAGATGTTGTCAACTCTGTGAGAGGTATCATTTAGTGGTTTTTCCAGATAGGTTTCGAATCCTTCGATTACATTGTAGGTTTGCAAAAATTGTGAAGGCAAATTACCTTCATAATTAGGAATTCAATGATTTTTCTTGGAGTAGATATCCCAAGTAATATTCGTCCATAAAACTCCTAATCTTCAGTAATTTTTTGCTGTACGCATGACAAGATTAAAAGACAAATTTTATTTTAAGGTTTAAGATCGTGTTCTTCATTATTTAATTTTCCTTACAGATATGTTGTCAGTGCATCCGAATATCTCATTCACAGAAGGTTCAGGTGAAGTGATGGGAGTGAATGCATCATTGAATAGTGATGCAGTTATCGATTTGGAGGGTCCATCTACTTTGGGTGATGACGATGTTATGGTCATAAGTGAGTCATTTGAAGTAGACCGCCATGACAGAAATGTCAATAATGATGATATTCTTATTGATGATGATGCTCAAGAGCCAAGATGTCATAATTGATGGAAATAACACTCGAGGTACTAATACTGGCATTATTCTGAATGGTGATATTTGATTCCAATATATTTTTGATTTCTATATTTGTTTGTAAATGCTTTAATATTGTAATGGCATAAACATTAGTCAATTCAGAATTGGTTTTCCAATTGTTACACTAGCCCTGAGAGGAATTTGAATATAAAATATAATTCAGACTAATTCTCAGGAACGAATTAACATTTAGCAGGACGTTAAATTAGTGGAAGCTGATTATATCTTTTCTTGTTTTCGCTGATTTCTTCCGTAACTATATTATCGATCTGAGGAGATTGTTTAAGAAATTTTCTTTCTGTGGTATCTTCGGTTCTTTTCTTTTTTACTTTCCAGTTATCATTTCTTAAATTTTATCCATATTCGCAGCTGGTTTAAATATTGTATTTATTTCCTTTGTCTTTTTTGACATTTGATTTATTTTAACAGCTTATCGCAATATATTATAAAAAATAGGTTTAGGACGTTTTTGTTTTTGTCTTTTTTTTTACGGTGTTATCATTTTCTCGTAGTTTCATTATATCCAGCCGTAGCCGGTATTTGATCGCAAAATATTGGGGAAGCCTTGCTGGATTGACGTACTAATTAACTGTACTGAGTCGGCTGTAATGAATTCGTGTATTTAATCGCTCAACCACAGTGCAATATCAATAATTCTGTGGACCAAACATGTCAGTACTTTCAGTTTTAATTTTTAATCACGAATTGGTTTCTGTCTTTTAATTAAACAATCTCTTTCCTTTCTCTTGTTTCATGCTCGATTATGTGCTGGTGTAATGGGGATGTCCTTTCCGTCTTGTTTTATGCGTGGAATTTCGTATAAAACTGCCTAATAGCTAGATTATTTTGTCATATACATTTCCTATTTGTGATTTTTTTTTTCTATATATCTTTCTATATAGTTTTTATTTTCGTATTTGTAAGAGCAAATTTTCCGAAACTTGACTGTGTATATCGAGTTCAAAGCTAAATTTCTAATTATGGTTCTGTAATCAGTCCTGTTATAGTATTATTCTTATCTTTGAGTACTACAACAATTTTTAACGTTTTTCATTTCACTGCATTTTTTAAAGAATATACTGGAGAGAAATTGCAATAATTTGGAGTTGGCTGGTTTTTTTTTTAAATCAGGATCTTAAAATTCAGTTTTGGATGCTATGAGATAGAAAAGGTGACATTTAAAACTTTTGTTCAATGGGTTGACAAAGTGGTGGGTGAGAAGTGGAAAGTACGAAAGATCAACTGGCTATCAAAACTAGTTACGTAATAATTTCAGGCAGTACTCCCTTGTATTTTTAAAACCATCAGTATTGAAACAGAAGGCTTTGTCTAATGCTCTCCTGACAGCATATTTAAAGTAATGAACATTTTGTAATTGGCTTACTGATTATTTATTGACAATAAAAACAAGTAGACAAATCTTAGTTTTCCTGCAGTAGGATTGTGGCAATGATAAAAGTTGAAGTTAATTGTTGTAAGTGGGAGATTTTTCAAGAAGTTGTGTTCATATGTGGAAATTATAAATGCTGACATGCCTATAATTTATTGGGAATGACAGAGTTAACATCTAGCGGATTGGGAAGCAAAAGTGCTGATGTTTTGTTGACATTCGTGGCAAAACATTAAGTAGAATGAAGTGGGGTTAGGTGAATACATCAATTATAGCATTGCTTGTATTCTTTTAGGCTTATTATTATATTGGACTTAGTGCGAGCAAATGTGTTATTATCACAATTTGTCTTTTTTTTTTCTTTTGAAGGAGCTCATGCTAGGATACAAATGTTTCGAAAAAAGTTTCTCTTTTTGTAGGTAGAGTCTGAATGAGACTAATATATATTCTTTCATATAACTAAAGATAAACCACTTTAGTCGAATTTATGGTCATTTTAATTTTAACTAAGGCGATAAAGAACTATATTTTTGGGCTGTAGCTCATTTATTTTTGCTACTTCTGTGCTTCAGAATTCATCGAACTCTATTTTTTGCATTTTGCTTGTTGGAATGATTGAAGTAGTCAGTAAATGAGAAAGAATCAAATCTATATGGTATAAAGCTTCTTTATCGAAATAGCTCAAATTTTGAATCATTCGTTTATGGCTACTAATCAGATGTTATTATGAAGAATTCATTTCCATCCGCATTACAATTTCTCCCTTATCTTATTTATCTACAGGGCACACTTTGACAAAATGATTCCCCAGGATTCGGCCGGCATTTCTTATAGAGATAGCATATCGCCAGGAAGTAATCGTAACCTTTTTTGGTTAGAGATTTGCTCTTCTAAAATAGAACTGACTTTTGAACTTCTTGGTCAAATCAGTAAACTGCTCATTGTCTTCTTTCAATGCTAGTGTCACTAGATCTATTACAAACCATTTAATAACTGAGTTTTCTTTGGTTTACAAACTAATCAATCACTATAAAAGTAAGTGCAAATATTCCTTCTGCATATGCTTAAAGATGGAAATGATAGTGATAGCGAAAGGATGGCAGGAAGTACTGCAGTACGTAACTGAAGAACACACGTATCGATGATAGTGATAGCGAAAGGATGGCAGGAAGTACTGCAGTACGTAACTGAAGAACACACGTCGAGATTAGCGTGATTCGTGTGACGGGAGTGTAAAGTATCACGTAGTACAATGGATATATAGCATAGCAGAAATAAAAACTAACATTTCCAATCAATTCATTCTAATTTGAAAAAACACTGATAAGCATTTATAACAGATAAATCATTCATTTCACTATGGAATTTTTTGTTGAAACGTAATATATTCATAGTTGCAACATAATCAGTACGTGTATTCGAAATATAAAGAATTTTAACATAGCTCTAACAATACATATATCATCTTTACGCATATGCGTGTGGTTCGTGTATTGTCTGTCCACGTATACGTGATATATATATCTAACGTATTCACATATGTACACGCATGTATGTGTGTATGTATGTATGTGAGTACGCGTATAATGCATGTTTATATATAAAGATATGGAGGTGTCATTGTGTATGTCCTCCTTATGACACGAAGTGCGATGGGATGGCTTGTGTGTGGGGCAGGGAGCGACATGCACGGTTGTGCAGAATGGGACGGGAATAAATCGATCGGTGCGAGTTCTGCTGGATGTGGCTGTGTGGGTGACACACCATTCTCATTGCTAATCCCTGTGATGGTGCTTCAAGGGTTTCCAGAACTTTTTTGGAAAGTTTGAAGTTGTTATAGGTGATGATTTGGAGGAGGAACCACCTGGCATATATATTTCTGAATGCTTCGATTCAGTGAAAATGTTCAGCTCTCTTTACATTGCATTGATCTGTTATGTCAACCACACAAATTATTTCAAAATTAAATATCCTAACTTCATTTTTCTTTTTTTACAATGTGCATATTGACACATTGATTTTTTGATCGTCAGTTATTGCTAAAACTGTTGTTCTGACATGCTGAACGTTTCTGTCCACCAGTATCACTATCATAAGGCCTTGTTTTGAATTTTATTATTAATAATTATGTTACACTCTTTCCATTCCACTATTTCCCCCTCATTCATGATGTCAGATCTGTTCAAAGTGTTTTTCTGAAGAATGACCATGTGAAAAGTGTAGCTGGTCCTGATGATTCGTGCTTCATATATCTTGCTTAATCAGCTAAGATAACATAACTTTCGTCTTCAGTGATATGCTATCCATTGTGAGAATAACCTTATAATTGTTTTTTTTTTTTAGTATATCCATTACTGAAGGAGAAATCAACGATGAAGTGGGTTTATAAAGAGGAAAATCCATTCGAGAAGCGACGAGCGGAAGGCGAAAAAATTAGACGCAAGTACCCTGATCGGATACCTGTAAGTTTGTCTCTTTTTTTGACTTGTCTCATGTTTTTAGCTGCGAACTCATATTTCTTACAGGTTTTCTCACCTACAATTACTTCTAGAATTGTTAGATTACCAGAATATGTCATTTTATCCCAGTTTTGCTAGTTTTCGAGTGGAAACGACACTCGTATTGATAGCTGACGGTATCAATCAAAACTTTGTAGGTTATTGTTGAGAAGGCACCGAAAGCAAGACTTCGCGATCTGGATAAGAAGAAATATTTGGTACCATCCGACTTAACAGTTGGACAGTTTTATTTCCTTATTAGAAAAAGGTTTATGATACTAGTGCGTTGTTTTTATATTTCGTAATGTCAGGGATTTGTTCGTAAGTATTATTGAAATACTTGAAGCTTGTAGCTAATGGAACCACGAGGTTCTGTCTGTAGTTTTTAATTGGGAAAATGGTTTTTCGACGTATTTAAATCGTTCAATCTTTATATAAATAATTTTTGAGTTTTTGAGCAATGAAGAGACGAAGTTCGCATAAAACTTGTTCACACTTATTTCACTTAACCATTTTTATGTGTTCCATATTGATTTGTTGGGCAGTGATTTAACAAAAATAGTGTCATTGATAAACAGCTTGCAAAAAATGTTTTAGTGTTTGATGAAAATAATCCGCTGATGGCTTTTTAATTAGAAAACTTTTTTTTTTTTAAGGATACATTTACGTCCAGAGGATGCGCTTTTCTTTTTTGTGAATAACTCTATTCCACAAACAATGACAACAATGGGACAAATATATCAAGTAAGAATTGCATGCTTTGGCACATCACTTTCTTCCTAATTGTTGTTATTCAGTTATATGAAAACTTTTCTGGGGCACGTTTCTATCTTTACGGTACCTTTTTTTGGAAGAAAAAAAGCAGGAGAGAAGAGTGGAAGAGTAAAAGATAAAAAGAAAGAAAGTATCATCGGTCTGCAATGCTATTTTTGACGTGTTTATGGATTCGATTCTTCGAGCTGCTAGCTTTCACGGCGGTGAAAAATTGTGCCATTATTATTGTGGATGAGACTTTATGACATATTGAAATGTGGATGGTCATTGCAGATTATATAATAATGACAGATCATTTTCAGAAAAGATTGTATTTACAGGAAAATCACGAAGAGGATCTTTTTCTGTACATTGCTTACAGCGACGAAAGCGTCTACGGTTCTTCATGAGTGAACTATGCGAGTAAAATTATCTGCTTTGCTTATTTTTTGACTAAATGTTTAATCTTCTCACCTTCAGTTTGCATCCATTTCATTTATCGATTTCAGTATTGTATTTTAATTAAATCATTAAAACAGTCAATAATACAAGTTTTTTTTTTTTTTTACATGCTTTATTACTGATTGTTTGTGATGATGATCTTATAATAAAGTGAGGGAACAAAAATTTTTGTTGGATTTGATTCTCATAAATTATAAATAAATACGCCTAACTAAATAACCTCAAAATTAAATACAGACTATTTCGGAACTATATGCTATTAATAAGTGCATTAGTTGTAGTTTCGTGTAGGAATCTGCTTTATAAAACAGTAAACGACATGAATGCTTAACAGATATAAGAACATAGACGTATGCTTCGTGTTAAGGCGTCCGTAACGCTTAATTTTTTCCCACTGTCTGTTAAGCATTTGTGCATTATTTGATGTGTGAGAAAAAATCGGATTGTTGGTAGAAGGCTGTCTTATTGGTAGAGAATGTATTATTTCAAGAAGTCTTTAACCAAAGCAACAGATCCCTAATATTAGTTTTGGAAGCTTCTTGAGCATTTTTAATTTTAAAGACTAAAGCTAATTTGTTTTTTCAATACGATTAGTGGCGTTGCGATATTGTAAGATAAATTTGTTCTTCGATATTCGATTTCATTATGTATATTATGTCATTGTACTACACTACATTACATCTCACGTTCCGTTTAATCCCACGCATTGTGTATAACAATCTGTAGATGTGAAATCCGTCAATAAAATGTTTCAAAAAGCTTAACTGTGTTTTTATAATATTTGGAATGCATTATGGCATGTACCTCATAAAGAAAGGTTTTCTTTAAAAATGTAATTCCGACATGGGAACGATTCTTATTGGAATTTTTTCGTCATAGAAATTGTTGCAAGTTTTTTTTATTAAGTGTGTGTGGTAGATTCTGTGATTATTTATGCTTGTATTATAATGCTTTTCAGATTTTCACTGTAAATTTGTTTTGTTACATACTGATATCTTTCAATTTGCATTTGGTTGTGGGCTTAAATTAGGAAGAAGCAATGATATATTACTGAGATGAATTATATTGCCATTTCATAATATTTGCGAATAGTAAGCAAATTATAATCAGTGAGTATTCTCTGTTGCGAATTATGGTACTTTAAAATATGTTCGATGATCCCTTCGCAAAATTATGTTTGACCTCACATATTTCTAACTCGTATATTATACCTCAAAGTCTTTGTGTAGAAGAAAAGTACTTCATACATTAAATTACTTCCCTTGTTTTTTTGTATGTATTAACATGTAATATTATTAATGTATGATGACCTTAGCAATGAATTTATCATGATCACTCCCACTTTAACACTATATACGTATTATATAGCATGGATCAACTTATTCAAAGGAATTCCATTATTCTTGCTTCTTTATTGTATTGTTGTTTCTGTTAATAAAGGAATTATTATATTCCTGTACTCCATTCGCATTATCAACATTTACATCAAGAAGTCTTCCCCAAAAACTTCTTCAATGAGCAATTATTACCTATCCATAGTTTCAGGTGTAGTTAGTTTTCTACATTCTCTCACTATCACATATTAACAATGGAGTGCTAGATTGGCTGAAATAAAGTGTTGACTGAATTTTTATCTACATCAATCCCAAGTCTTTCCCTTTTCGAAGCGAACATAACTATTGTGCATGTTAAAAAGTCTTTGAGATTCTTTGTGGTGATTTAACTTCTTTTTCATTTCATTATAGCTCTTATCTAACAAATTTATCGTAAATATTTTGCTTGGGAAGGACAGAAATTTTAAGGACTGAAAGAATTTACATGGAATGGATGTGTCTTTTGGTCGTGAAAAAAAATTGTCCTAACTGCTCAAGCAATTTCATTTTTTTGTGCTGAACTAAACTATTTCCAGTTTCTGTTGTGATTTTATCAATGTTACACTTTAAAATGTACTTTCATTACCGCAACCCAGTTCCAGTTATTCTGCCCTTCCCTCCTTCTGTTTTTCGTCTTTCGTTTTGTATTTATAAAGTTTCCAGAAAACATCTCAAAGATATATTCCTGAACAAGTAGTTACCTTCCCTATCAGACGATGTAGTACATTTCTGAACATCATCTTGACAGTAATATCTCTAAGACATTATCTCTTACGACGCTGCTTAATAAACCCATTTTCTAGCTGTTAATTTGTGTCGTGGAATATTTACGTGGAATACTTAATTTACGTGTAATGATTAAGTATGCCCAGTTACTCCTTTACTACTTTTCATACTTCCAAAGAAGAGATTCTATTATTGCGAATCCTCCCCCCTGTAATGGCTTTAGTTTACGGTGGGCTTCTCGACAGCACAGCTTTTGTGTCTCCTAGACTTGTCCCTGGTGATTGTGTCTTTATAAACTTTTCTGCTTCTTCTCTCCACACCAAACTCTCGGATTATTGATGCAACATATTTCGAAATTAGAAATTTATTAACAGTTCAAATCTGAAACCATATCGCTCTTCATTCTGTGTAATGGGGAAACAATCCCGTCTTATATGGTAGGACAAGCTACGATTCTCGACTTCTGATTCTTTTTTTCTTATGTACGTGATAGTTTGCCAGTTGCTTAGCAAAATCAAAAGCAGATCGATATATAACACCGAAATGATCGCCCGAATGATTCTTTCAACACCAATATTGTCATATCTCCCAGCCTCATAAACCAGCAAGCATATCGTAAAACTATTATTTAAAAAGCCATCAAATTACATTTTATAATTAAATGCTCCTTCGCGTCATTTGAACCAAACGGCATACAAAATCAGAGCCATGTGAAAATCAGAAGCACGTAATCAGCAACTCCAAAAAAATTCCGTTGACTAATAATGACCAACTGAACTTCATTTAATAGAAGTTTTTAAAATAATATCCTTAGCAGATTGAAAACTAACTGACATTCGGAAATTTTCCAAGCCCAAAAAATATTCCAGCAATAAAACCTTACTAGCAAAAGATCCCAATTATTCATTTCGTCTGTCATTCAATATATATGACACGTCGAAAACAAAACTTTTCATTTTATTAATGTTCCCTTTACTTTCCTAAGTGCAGAGATATTATACGCTCTGTTACTGTGAAACCCCTTACGTACTACATTTCCATAATTAGGATAACACTCTGCGATTGACTCTCTTTCGACCTGTTTAAAAATTCCTTTTTGTTTCCTTTGTCCACTTGATACTTGTGAGTGGTCGAATTAAGAATACCTCGAGATTCATGTTTCTTGAAAAAAATATATATGTATATATACCGATTGATACATAAGGAATTGTATCTCTCCTAACAGTTTAATTTCAATCGTAAGAACTAAGTAAATACTAGTAAAATGAAATCGGACAGTTTTTCTCTGCAATAAGCCAAATCAAAAAGTGTTTTTTATCAGCACAGCAAATAAATAATTACACGAACGCTGAGCCAAAAATTTTCATTCTAATACCATAAAGATATGATAACGATATGATAAGAAAAATTCTTTTGAATATTCGAAATAACAGAAAGTGATAGTAGAAATACCAATAGATTATTTCGTTCAACCCGCACTACGCTGCTGCTAACCAGCTTGAAAGTGTTTGCGGTGGTGCTTTGCCCTGAAGTATTGCAGTGGAAAACACTTTTTTTTTCTTGATATAGCCACTTTCTATTGATAATATTTCAATTTATGATGATTGTAAGTGGCTGCTCCCCTTGAATACCTTCTTCGTGAGTGTGAATCTTAGCAAAGATCAGTGCGCTCAATTATAAGATACAGAAATAAAGTTCTCAAAGAGTTAAGTTTGAGTGCTTATAATTTTTCTATCATTTAGAAGCAAAATTTCGATGAAATTTTTCATAATCAAAATTCTGCATCTAATATCAAACAAAACAAAAACTTACCGAAACATCAGCTCGGCCATTTTTGGTAATAACGTTACCATCGGATTTAATCACAATAAGCATAGGAATTCCGGCAACTTCATACTTATTTTTTAGTTTTCTCAAAATAAAATAACAATAAAAGGAGTTCACTAAGAAAATTTCTTTTATATGAATTTCTGAACTGACAAGATTACTCGACAAAAAAGCTCCCGAGGCAGATAAAAGTGTCATGTAGGCTAGAGTTTGTCATTTTTTTAAATTAAGCAATTCTATTTTCAACCTTCTGTCACCAAGCATGGAAAAATCTTCCAAAAACAAACTCGATTTCACTGGAACCAAAAGGAACGTAATACCAATCGCCATGTGATTCTTTCACATAGTTATTCAAATCTTCCTCGGAATGGTCCAATGAGACAAATACTATTTCAAATTGGTCATCGTCTACTTCTTCATAAAATTCCTGAATATATCAACGTGGTAATTATTTTACACATAAAACTAATTTTGGAGATTGAGGTCAGTTCCACAGAAAACCGGCTAACTTATTCTCGCACAAAATAATATCAATTTTTATAATGTTTTATATTGCTACAGAAGTAATAGCCTTGTTGAACTTCACTGTCTTATTTCACGATGCTTTCTCAAACAAATGCTGCAAAATTATATCATTTTAATTCGATGAACAAATCAGGTTTTATCTTAGCTATTTATTTAACTTCCTTAATCAACTGCCACTTCAAACATACTATGGAGAAAGTGCCTTCGAAATTGATGAGATGCTTCCTTGACATCACAGAATCAAAAATGAGTATTTCTACACTCTAGGAATAAGCAGACTTTTAGAAATTTACTACTATATCATTCGTTTAAATGAGATAATTTAGTTTTCATTTATTTTTTTTTTAAATCATTAGATGAATTTCTCAGTGATTTTCAAAATAAAACAGCTCTATGAGATGTTTCAGCGGTTCTAACTTAAAATAACAAAAAAGATATGTTCGAACCTAATTATAATAATCTGAAATTTACGATCCCTGAAGTGCTATCAATTTTGT